TAAATAAAACATTTAAAAAAATAAAATAAAATAAAATAAAAAAGAAGAGCACCTAGGCAGTAAGTCATGCACTTCCCTTCACAAGTGCAAACCTGTATGTACAGAACTGCACCTGTTCTGCTCACCTCACGGTCAATGGGAGGGTTAAGGACACAGTAGCAGTGACAATAACTATCCCAGCACGTGCCTGCCTGGCACATTCTGTGCTCCAAACACGTTCCTTCAAAATAAAAGAGAAACAATCCCAAGGATTTCTTAAGGTGTGCTGCTATTGAATGTAATGTAAATACTCCTTTTCTTCTCTGAAATGCAGGAACTAGAGTTGAGCATTTGGGGAGGCCCTGCCCAATCCGAGGTTTCAGGAATCTGTAAGACTCTTTGGAATGAGTGGGACATGAACAACGGCAGGAATCACTCAAGAACTCTTACAAGAAGATCATAAACTTGTGGATTTCCCGGAAAAGCATTACAATCTCTGCATGTGTACGTGTGTGTGTAAAATGAACTTTTTAAAAACTAAGGCAACAAACAAAATAAATCACAAACGCACACCTGCTGCAATAGGAGCTTCCCTGGGCGGCAGGGCACGCCATGCACCCTGAGGAAGCGTTTACCTTTACCTGGCCTTCTCTGACTCGGGTAGACATGCGGTGCTTTCTTCCTGGAGGGCTAGACAAGGAAGTTCTTCCTGGAAGCTAGACAAGTTTCTGACACAGGCATGATCTATGAGGAAGACTATGTGGCCCTTTCCTCCTCCACTCTGCTTGTGGGACAGGACAGCCCTCAGGCTCTGCTCATTGAAGGACAGAACGTGCTGTGCACGGGCTGCGCCCGGAAGCCCCCTCCGGTTTAGATGCAACTCTCACAGTCTCTGTGCACTGGTCCGCTCCCGGGCCCCCAGAGCGGAGGCCACCCTCCACACCTGTGGACGCCAGGCTCCCTGACTCATAAATGCCTCTGTGCCCGAAACCTACCTGTTTCTTCTGGACCCTGAAGTGCACGCTTGTTCCTGCTGCTTTGGCTGGAGTTGCCCTCTCCTGCAGCGGGTGGTGCGAAGATCCCCTAAGAAGAGAGAAACCCCAAGTTACTGCAAAGACATCCGAGGTGCGGGAGGCGGCGGTGCGGGGCGAGCCCACGCCTGGGGCTGCAGCTGCTTGCTGCAAACTCACTTTCAGGGCCGAGGTGACAGCTGGAGCCTCCCGCACGGCTGCCCCGGGGGCTGCGGCTCCGGCCTGGGGGGGGCCTGGCAGCCGCTCTGCCTGGTGTTGCTGCAGCTCCGCCCGGAGGCTCCCCAGCTCGGCCTGAAGGGCGGCCACCCTGCAGAAAGCCAGCACCGAGAGGCAGCTGGCCGTCAGGGCCAGCAGCAGGGTCACGGCCAGCAGCGCTCCATCTTTGGAGAACGGGACAGAGGGGCTTTCCTTCAGGGGGAGGATGGAGACACACTCCCTCGGTTTCATTTCTTCTCCCCTCCGCAGGCAGGGAGAGAGGCATGACCGCTGGCCTGCACAGCCATCCATGGCACTCCTGGAACTTTGGAGGTTCGGGCCTTTCGGGTGAGCGAGCGCAGGGAATGGATCATTTCCTGTGAGCTGTGCTTGCTGGTGTCCTGCACTGACTCCAGGGCCTGGCCCTGCTGTCGCCCGCAGGAGAGCTCTCCTGAGCCTCCCGCCGTCTGCCCCGCTGCATCCCGGCCCCCACTGTATGATAGGTCTTCCTGGCACTGGCCCTTCAATCCGATTGCCCAATCATTTCCTCATTTCACTTTCAGTTTTTGTAAGAATTTTAATGGCATCTCGAGACACACACACACACGCACACACGGGCCCCGTGCATCCCCCTACGTGACGGGACTCGGGGTGTGGGCTGGCCCACTGGGGAGAGCCCTGCGGTCGTGCAGGTGCGGGACGAGCATGGCAGGGCTGCCCCACTCGGGGCCACATGGCTCTGGGCGGCAGGGGGAAAAGAACACTGAGGTTCCTGGTGCTGTAATAAAAATAATTAATGTGAAGGTCAGATAAGCTAAGTGGCAGCCCTGAACTGTACTCAGCTGGAGAATGATTTATGAACGGTCTCTAAGTAGGAAACAGAATGAGACGTCCTCAGAGGAGGCATGGAAGTCCACTGGGGCACAGTCGCCTTATTATTGTCTCAGCAACGCAACACATGGAATGTGACCGAATCTGGGAGGTGTATTTAGAGTCCATCGGAGGTGTTCTTGCTCTGCGGGGGATGCATTTTGAGGGGAAACCTGTGCGCGCCCTTCCTCCTGGGACTGGCCACCCTGACAAGCCCTCCCGCCGAGCTGCAAGTGGCCACTCAGTGCAACGTGGTCTGGGAAACCCAGCCTTCTCTCCGGCTCCCAGTGCCTCCGCCCAGCCCCACCGTGAGCTGCTCTCTCCCTACAGTCCTTGTTAGGCTGACTCTGCCCCAACCTAATGGGCATGCGAACAACCTGACTCAGCCCACAGACACTTTGGCTTCCAGTCTCTGCTGCTGGACTTGGTCTGGCTGCAAAGACGGCAGTCCTGCCCCGTCTCGATGGCGGGCTTCTGGACGTTTCTCAGCTGCTCTGCCCCCAGCACGGGCGTATGGTCAGGAGCTCCCACCTCCACAGCATTCCTGGGCACGAGCCGAGGCCGGGACACATGAGTCCTCTGTGTGCTCCGTGCCCCCTCCCGTTCCTGTGCCAGCTTCAAAGGGCAAGTTGCAGGAACTGTGTGAGCAAGGAGAAGGGCTCCAGAGCCAGGCTGTGAATCTCTCTGGGCAAAATACATGTCTCCTCATCTGTGAAATGGGACGATGGCTGTCCCTGAGAATTCTTTTTTTTTTTTTAAAGATTTTATTTATTTATTTGAGAGAGCGAGAATGAGAGAGAGCACATGAGAGGGGATAGGGTCAGAGGACGAAGCAG